CTCTTCTCTTCTCTTCTCTTCTCTTCTCTTCTCTTCTCTTCTCTTCTCTTCTCTTCTCTTCTCTTCTCTTCTCTTCTCTTCTCTTCTCTTCTCTTCTCTTCTCTTCTCTTCTCTTCTCTTCTCTTCTCTTCTCTTCTCTTCTCTTCTCTTCTCTTCTCTTCTCTTCTCTTCTCTTCTCTTCTCTTCTCTTCTCTTCTCTTCTCTTCTCTTCTCTTCTCTTCTCTTCTCTTCTCTTCTCTTCTCTTCTCTTCTCTTCTCTTCTCTTCTCTTCTCTTCTCTTCTCTTCTCTTCTCTTCTCTTCTCTTCTCTTCTCTTCTCTTCTCTTCTCTTCTCTTCTCTTCTCTTCTCTTCTCTTCTCTTCTCTTCTCTTCTCTTCTCTTCTCTTCTCTTCTCTTCTCTTCTCTTCTCTTCTCTTCTCTTCTCTTCTCTTCTCTTCTCTTCTCTTCTCTTCTCTTCTCTTCTCTTCTCTTCTCTTCTCTTCTCTTCTCTTCTCTTCTCTTCTCTTCTCTTCTCTTCTCTTCTCTTCTCTTCTCTTCTCTTCTCTTCTCTTCTCTTCTCTTCTCTTCTCTTCTCTTCTCTTCTCTTCTCTTCTCTTCTCTTCTCTTCTCTTCTCTTCTCTTCTCTTCTCTTCTCTTCTCTTCTCTTCTCTTCTCTTCTCTTCTCTTCTCTTCTCTTCTCTTCTCTTCTCTTCTCTTCTCTTCTCTTCTCTTCTCTTCTCTTCTCTTCTCTTCTCTTCTCTTCTCTTCTCTTCTCTTCTCTTCTCTTCTCTTCTCTTCTCTTCTCTTCTCTTCTCTTCTCTTCTCTTCTCTTCTCTTCTCTTCTCTTCTCTTCTCTTCTCTTCTCTTCTCTTCTCTTCTCTTCTCTTCTCTTCTCTTCTCTTCTCTTCTCTTCTCTTCTCTTCTCTTCTCTTCTCTTCTCTTCTCTTCTCTTCTCTTCTCTTCTCTTCTCTTCTCTTCTCTTCTCTTCTCTTCTCTTCTCTTCTCTTCTCTTCTCTTCTCTTAAGAGACAGTCTCTTCTCTTCTCTTCTCTTCTCTTCTCTTCTCTTCTCTTCTCTTCTCTTCTCTCTCTCTCTCTTTTTTTTTTTTTCCATAGAAGTTGCTATAGCTGGCTTTGCTTCCCTGGAAAACAGTTAGTCTCTTTTAAATAATACCTCATGAAGGAGCATATGCACAGAAGGACACAGTGCCTGTGTTAAATGCATACTGAGGTTTCTCATGCCTAGTCCTGGAATGGGAGAAATCCCACAGTTTTATTTCACTTGCATCTCACATGCATATGTATGTCTGTGATGAGTACAAACAAGAACATTCAAAATCAGTTCAAGTCTCCAGGATTACTGAGTTACTTTTTTATGACTGTATAATGAGGATATGAATATCTTACACCAGGGGAGACAGCTGAGCCCATGGAAGTAGGAAGGCCTGCAACAACTGCAACTAAACTCATTGTGCTTATTACAACTAAACTTTGGGCTTGGTGGAGTGCTATTTCTGGAATCTGCTGATTCAGCCGAAATTCAGGGGTGAGTTGGAGGTCCCATGTTGTCAGGAATATCAAGGAAAATCTGCCCCATTCCCAGTCAGCCCAACCAGTCTGCCCCCAGATAATTTGCTCGGTAAACCCCTGAGGACCTGAGAATTTGGAAGCCCCACAAACTCTTCTCACCAAGATCAAGTCCAAGCCAAACCCAAGCCTCTGAGACTGGCCAAAGCCCAAGCAGCCCCAGGCTTCTAGCTTGTAGCACTCACAGAAAGCCCAGCAGATGGGCTGACCTCAATCTAGGCTCCATAACTTTGACTTGCAGAGAAATTTGAAAGTGTCGTTTATTTTAAATCAGAGAAACAACAGATTTTAAGTTATGAATGACTTCTTATAAGCAAAATTACATTTCCTCATCCAGTTGCAAGCAGAACTTGAAGAGCTTGGGAATTTTAGACCTTGCTGCCACATTTCTTCAAAAACATTGTAAAGGTTCACCAGATGATACTTGAGGTCCTTTCCAACCTGGTGTTCTATGTTTCTATGATTATCTGCTCCCAAATCTTGGACAGGCAGGAAGAAATAAAATATGTTTTTCTATATCTGCGCAGGACCATCTTTTGTGACAACATAGATCATGATTAACATTCTACTTTACAGAGTTTCTGGTGAATAAATACGCCATCACACTTTTTTTTTTTTTTTAATATCCAAATTTTGAAAAGTTTCCATTGAGAAATCTAAAGTTTTAAATAATATTCCAGTACAAAAATATAGTCCTTGAGATAAAATCTTCCATATTACTATCTCCAAATAAATAAAATTATATCAGACATATTTAAATGAATCAGTACAAGAAAAATACAGAACTTCTCAAAATCAGTGAGTTGAAGTTAAATCAGTGCAATAGAGTTAGTCACATTTCCTGGAGCTTCTGGTAACTTGCAGCTAAATAGCCTGGTCTCCTGGTAACTTCAGTGCGCAACAATAATTACCAACAATTAATCATCAATCCCCTAGTTCAGAAAAGTGCTTCATCATTTGCTTATCTTTAAGCATGTCGATTTGCTATCTGGTTTTAGATATGCTTAGAAGAAGCCAATATGAATATGTTTTCCTGAGTACAGAAAATTCCCCATATTGGTGCTTGAATCTCCATGCCAAATAGACAAGATGATGAGACTAATCCTAAAACATCCTTCTCTCAGTATAGCACCAGATGGAAACCTGGGTACCGTATCATGTCATTTCAGGATTTCCATATGGAAACTGCTTAAACATTTCCTCGTTCTGTATTTTCAGGTCAACAAACATATAACAGACAGATTTTTAAGACAAAGTCATTTCTTATACAGTAGTAGGAGGTATAAATACTTTGATTGGTGTTTCTTTATAAATAATTATTTAAAATACTTAAATATTAATAAATAAATGTATAAAAACTCAATAAAAGAATTGAAATTGAAAAATGTGCATCATAAAATTTGCACAGTAACTCAGTACAAAAGGTCATATGATGTCATTAGCATTTGCACCTCCTCTGAGACTGGCTTCTTTTCCTTTTGAGAGAAGTTGAAGTCTCCACCAGTTTTTGTAAGACACTGAACAGCTCATTCACAGCTTTGCGTTGAATTTTCAAGTCACTCATCTGTTACAAGTAAGAAATAAACAGAATGAAGGTTATGTTAAGGCCTATAATTTGCTGATCACATCCTACAGGCTACACTGATACCAGAGTAAACCAGATGGACATCTGCAGTTTCCAATTACTCTACTACCTAATTCCTACAACAAAGAGCCACTTTGCCACAGGTTTTTGTTTTCCACTTTCTGTGTTACTTTGCAATGTGCCAGACATATTCTGTGAAATGGAGCTACTTCTGTGAAGCAGAGTTATTATGATGATATATGAATTATCCACAAGCAGCTAACTCCACCGAGGTATTGGCTGTGGACCTCTGAAGAGGTAGGTGGTTCATGCCATTGTCACTTGTTCAATAAGCCAAGCGCCTCCAACGCCCATAGAGACATGCCGTAGCCAGGCACAATTTTTCCACCCAATTTCTAAACCACAAACAGCTGTGTCAGTGGCAGGTCTGGTGGGCAGATGACATGGCAGCACTGCCAACACCTCTGTGCCAGACTCTAGCAAGACTCAGAGAGGGCGGCCCCTGCACTGACATGCCACACCGCAGATGTGCAGCTGGAAACTTTAGGCTGTCCAGCGTGAACTGAGCCAGACAGGGGTTACCAAATGGGTTACTAAAGCATTATTGGCTTGAGTCATACTCAGATCTCAACTGGAAAATATAGTGTCATGAGCCTTGGAGGCAGAAAGGTCATCTTACCTGAAGCTTTGTCAGGTCCATGAGGTCATTCATCTTCTTTAAGCCATCAGGAAGGCTTCTTTTCAGAGTATAGAGCTCCTCAGAGATGTGCCTGACATGTGCCTTTGACGTGTCGGTCTTTTCAAGCATTTCCAAGTACATGGAAACAATCTGGCTCAGGATGATCCTTTTTTCATTTCTCTGTTGAAAAATATGGTCAGAAAGAAAGATCTGTGAGTGCCCATCAGCAGGAAAATGAACAAAGCTAAAATGCAGTACACAGGGATTCTCACTGCCGCTTGAAACAGGGTCATAAAGAAGATGCTGCAACTCATGTCCTGGGCTTGGCTGTACCTCAGGATCAGTTCATGGTGCAGTATAAAGCACCTTGATCCTTATGGGAAGCATTTTTCTGAAAATTCTCTTCTCATTTCCAAGCTGCCAAAGAGGCCTCTGCTCATGTTAATTCTACTGCAGCTGGTTGGGAGCTGCTTTGTACTGAAATTGCCCTGCAAAGCACCTGAGATACTTTGTCATATCTGGTTCTGACTCACCTCTGTCCAATTTATCAGTTTGTCCGTAAAAATAGGTCCACCATCAGCCACGTCTGAATGACTTGAGTTCTGCAACAAAGAACATACCTGTCATAAAAATAATACTTATCACAAGGCAAATTTCCGTTCTCTATTCAAATGAGCAGTAAAAACTAGAGAGTTGTGATTTTTGCACCACTGGCCTATAACTATTACAATGCTTTTGCTTCTCTAAGCAACAAATCACATTGGATGACTGCCTAGTACCAGAAATGTCATTAGTCTGCTTTTCAATGTCTTCTCCCACTATTACTCATCTGAATAGAGACATTTAACACCATGTATTTTACTAAAAGCTCCTTGCAAGTTTTGGTATTGACAGCTGAAAATTAACGTCCATAAGCGTAGCAACTGGCTAGAAAATTGTCATATCCGACCTTGGCATGTATTTTGGTAAGTCAAAGTCCACCGGTATGTAGGCTGTGGCCTTGAATTTATCGAGTCTTAGTAAAATCTCATATAGAACAAGAACAAATTAACTTTACTATAAAACTACAGTTTGTAGTAAACTACTGGAGAAAAGCCCAGTAGCCCACACTCAGGTGTGGAGACATACAAATCTACTGGGCTACTGAGAGGCTCACAGGGGCAGAGTTTAACCATCAGATGTTAGCCACACACTGTGGCAGATTCTAGGAAACAAAGAGCAATACAATTCTCCTACCAAGGAAAGGTAAACTGAATCATTTCCTCTTCTGTGTCTTTTTTTTATTTTTTTTGTATACAACAGTCACTGTTTCCTTTTTTGTCTGCTCAGTAATTTAAATACAGTGAGTGCAAAGGGAAAACTTGCAGACTGACAGAAACCTCGTAGGCTGATTGGCTCCCCATGCTGAGCACATTGCCAAACCTTGTTTTGCTGTTCTTCAGAAAGTGGGGAGCACCTGCTGTGGACCAGAGTTTTAATGTCAGTGCAAGAAACTCCTCATGGCTCAGGATCTCTCCAACAGAGTTACTAAATTCTAGTGACAATCTCTCCGATCTATGCTAATGACAAATTTATATAATGCCAATTTTACAGCCAGTTTCCTATCAATCTACAAATGCTGAAGTATCTCACTAGGCTTCTTTGTGTGATACTTCAAGGTGGTTCTTTGGCTGCTAAATTTCAACTTTCGTATACACAAAATTCTGACAAAATCAGAGCTGAAAATAGGAGCAGACCTGCAGTTGCCTTCATACATTTAAAGAAAAAAAATATTACTGAAAGTAAAAACTGTTAATTAGAAGTGACTCTATTGTAGATCTGTTATCTAATCCCAGCTGAAGTCCACTGTGAACTACTTTAATGCCTTCTAAATGAAGATAGGTAAATTAACATTACAGTTATCAAGTTATCAATATTTTGTCTGAAAAGAAGTAGTATCATGCTGGATAACATTCCCATGCCAGATCATAGTCACAGATACGGAAACAGAATGGCTGGAGCATGAAAAGAATAAGCAGTAGGAACCACCTTTGGGCAACACACCACTTCTACTAAGTACCAGATGCATTTCCTAAAGCAAAACTTCTCCATTTTGTTTATATTGCTAACTAATACTAAATCCCCAATTACCATTACTAACCTAAAAAAAGGAAAAAAAGTGTCAGTAAATTACATCTGAATAGAATTGAATCAAGATTCATTCATTCATCATAAATTGCATTAAGATTTCTTGTTATAAGACATTCCATGTAATCAAAAGCTGAATGGAGCTAGGAGAAGCTCTTGTGAAAGGAAGAGTGACCCTGAAATAAATGCAAACTGCTACATTAACTATGACTACTAAAAGACTGGATCATGTTAGCAAAACCAAATCAATTGTCCATATTCTTGTTTAAAAAATGGTATAACTAAAAAATTTGTTCCATGGTTACCCTCTATTGGTACACCTTGAGTATGTCAAGTAGTGCCAAAGTCTGGACTAAATCTAAAGCACAGGCAGAAGAGGAGAAGTGCAGTAGAAGACCATACTTACAAAGTCAGCTTTCAGTTGGTCTATATCATTTTGAAGTTGAGCAAGAATTAAGCTATCTCCAAAACGTCCAAAATAAATCATGATGACAGACAGAACAAACAAGCTGTAGGTCTGGCAAGTCATTTTCTTGGCAATGGTTCAGTGAAAATGCTCTGATAGAGAAGTTCTGGGAGATGTCAGTTCTAAAAGCAGTGAGCTTCAATTTTTAATAGTTAAATCTTCTATTAGAAGAAAGTAGACGAATGAACTTCATCTGTCTGTCAGTGGTATTTATACCTGATCTTGAAATTTTTTATTTCGTCATCACAGGCTGCGTATATTTAGACAAGATAGTGTTAGATAAGAATGCTTCGTTTTTGGCTGATCAAGGGAATCCCTCGAAAGCATCTCTCTTAAAGCATGGTCCTGGAAAAATTTTCAGTGGTTCGTCAATGGGTAACATTTACGTGTCAGGTTCTGAAGTTTCTTTTCACACAGTTGGGGAAAAGGGGGAAATTATGATACTGAATGAGGAGTATGCATTGTGGCTCAAGCATATTCTTACACGTTATCTGAAAAAAAATCATATCATGTGGTTAAAGGGTCAGTATAACAGTCAACTCATTTCTGGTATTCTGTTAAAGTAACCACTGAGATTGCCATGTCATTTTTCAGAGTCACTTAGAGATCTGAACATTCTCCCTACTGCTGTCCTTTTGTGAAACACTATTTGCATTCTTTCCATGGTCTGAAGTGCATTTCTGCTGTTTCTCATTCTTCACTTCTGGATTTAAAATAGACTCAGGGAAAATGAGTTTCCAGCATGGATGCAATGATGCATTATATTAAAGTCCTCTATGGTTGTCTACTATCCACAGAGTGGAGTATTTAGTACTCAAGACACTAATTTCTGCTTGGCAATAATTTTAGTTCCCTACCTGCCCATTCATTTACACTTATATGTGCAGAGTATGAAAACAGAAAAACATGGATGAAAAAAAGCACAGTTGAAGAAGACAGACAGGATGGTCTTCAAATGCATACAGACCCCTGAAACAACTGTATTGAGAGTTAGCTGGGGAAAAGGTTTTCGTATAGGAACTAACACTGCTTTGTTGGATATAATGGAAAAAGAGCTTGCTGTGAAGAGTCTTATGAAGAAATCAGAGTAATTTTAGGCTGTAGTATGTGAATGCAGGGTAGGTAGGAGCCTACAAGAGAAAGAAAGAAGAAGCCCATAGGGAAAAATAAAAGGAAGAGGATCAGAAAGAGGGCTCAATTCACACAGGCTGCAGTGGAGGAAGTCTGTAGCTCATCAGAAACAGATGAGAATTAAACTGGCCCCCTGAAGTTATGATTTGAGCTCTCCAGCACAGTCCCAGGTACTCCATGCAAGAAGCTGTCCCCTTCCCCAGCAGCACCTCCTATCTCAGCAAATGACCACTAATGCCATCAAACATATTTTGTCTGCAGCTTGAAGAGGACCACCATCTGTGTAATATATCTAGTGTACTACTACCATTGCAAACAGGGAACTGCCCTTTTGCAGAGACAAGAACCAAATTTCACAAGCAACCACAGGCCCAAAAGCTGCATGCTAAAACTCCCTGTGAATAGCAGCATAGACAGATGGCACACGTCTCACAACAGGTGCAGTACTGCACAAAAATTAGGGATGTAATCTGCTTGGTGTAGTAGTACTATGCAATGTTCATCTTGGTTTTAGTTTAGGAAATTAAAACTGGTTAAGAAATAACTTGATGGCTGGAAGCGTTGACATGGAATTGTGGTGATAATGCTATTCAAGGATGCTTCAAAGCACTGTAAAAAAATACAAAGGCATCATGCCTGCCCACAACAGAGGGATTGGACTAGGTGACCTTCAAAGGTCCCTTCCAAATCAAACCATTCTGATTCTATGATTCTACGCTAGAAATTAAAATAATAGAATCGTAGAATCATTTAGGTTTGAAAAGATCCTTAAGATCATCGAGTCCAACCATTATCCTAACACTAAGTCCACCACTAAACCATGTTCCTAAACATCATATCTACACATCTTTTAAATACCTCCAGGGATGGGGACAAAATGGAGATCCCACCAAGATATAAATTGGAGTCACAATTCAAAGTGGACTCACAAATGTCAGCACACTGAACAAACCTATTGGTAATGTTGAAACATCTGGATAGTTTTGCAAGGAAAGCATAGTCAAATGGCATGTGGTGGCACAGCTAAATGTAGTTTTATACATACAGGAAAACCAAGCATATTTTATAAGGTGGGAGACACGTCCCATGCTGAGGCATGTCAACTGGTCATGAACCTGTGGAACAATTCTTTGGCAAAGTGTTGGAAGATGCCAAGTGGCAGAAGGAAAATTATTCCTGTTACATATGGCACTCTTTACAGTGTCAGAAACATGCAACTGTAAGATGGACTGGGTTATCAAGTCAAATTTTTACTACTATGGGTCCTAATTTGAGCAGTGCTTTTCTGTTGAGTTACCAGGGTGTGCAAAGAAAAGTGGCAAGTAAGGAGTTTGGGAGAGATTCTTTACAAAAACAGCTCAGTCTTCTTAACGTGTTGAGAACAAATCACAACACAACTGGACACAACTAATTGCTGTAATTATCCAGCCAGGCAGAAGATATAATTCCAGGAGTTGAAAGATTAAGTCAGTAACGCTGCCCTCCTCTGCAGAGAAATATCCATCCAGAGTGACTGTGCTGTGTTAAGCTGCCTTGTTAAACCCCAGACATGCCTCTCATCCACAGCAGGATGTACTTTTCAGGTGGCCTCCGTTTGGTCTCCCATTACTACTAAAGTTTTAAGAATAACAGGAGGATGAAATATCAGAAAGAGGATTTTTCCAACTCACATCTTGTAGATACTGGTTAAAGTTTTGGGGATTTATATGGCTAATTTTATCACTAGATCTCCTCACCTTTCAGAGACCAACTGTCAAGCATCCAATTTTGCAGGTAAGAAAATGGAAGTACAGAACAATAGGATGATTCACAATCATTCAGAATCTAGGAAAGGCAAATCTAGAAACACAAACAGGGTCTCCCAGTGCCATTGTGGCCCTCTACCCACTAAGCAGCACTACAAGTATTATATCATAAACCAAGGCAAGAAATTAATCACAGAGCAAAGAGGCAGAGAGCCATGACATCTGGCTCTGTCATGCCATCTTCTGAGTGCAGATCTGACTTCCAAGTACTCTCTCCTGCCTGTGGAGGCTAGATTCAGGCTTTCCACACATCTCCATATTCAAAATCTCACATAAAGAGTAGAATGTTCTGTGGTAAATCATCAGATGGACAGAAATGTATTCTAATACAGAAATATAGGATCCCTTTTCAAAACTTTTGCATTTGAATAAATTGTACCGTGTTAATGTTGACATGCTCATCTCATAATGTTCTCTTCTATTGACACACACCCTCACATCCCTCCAAATCATTTTGAAACTAGGCAACAGTCTACAACAGATGATTAGAACATGAGGGTCCTTGAATTCCAAGAGGTCCTGCACCCCTCCCAGCCCTGTTCATCTTCCCATTCTGCCCCAAAGTGATGAAACATATCAACATTGTACAGTGTATGTGTTGTTGCCCAAGAATAATGAACAGTCAGGTTGTGAGGAAGGCTCAGGTGCCTCCTCTGGACTGAGGCATCAACACAGTTACAAATGAAATAGGCAGTATCCTGCAAATATCTGCCCTTTACTAGACAGAGCCAAGGGCCTAAGAGCATCCACTTTTTCTTCCTGTTCCTTAGTAGATATCTGTTGAGTGCATGCTGGAGGGGACCAAACACTCAGCACTAATACAAATTCTTTGCCTAAGCACCAGTCCTAATCTAGCTGAAAGACATGCCCGAATAGTGTTGAAAAGTCTTGTACTGCACAGAATTGGAGTGGTCCTTCTGTGTGGCTCCATAGTCACAGCTGGACTGTCATCTGTTCCAAACACAGTAGGAAATGAAACCAAGGCATTTTTTCATTTTGCTGCCTGGAAGTCATCTGACTCTTCATGCAAAGCAGAGGTTTCACACCCTTCTGTTCATATAACACCTTACACCAATTACCCGATGATGTCCTTGCAAAGTCATGTCAAATTTCACTATGACCACTGATTAAAGGTTTTACCCTTTCATTTTTTGTTTTATGCATACTCCTCAATGTGCTGGCTGAGTGGTTAGTAAGGAACTACTCTTACCAGATCTCTGCCAGACTTTCATTTCTCTAAAACTCAGTGGTTTCCTCTATTACCACTGCCCAAGGTAAGTAACTCAGGGTTGGAAAAGCCTCTCTGAGTTGTCATTCTGACCTTACATCATATTCCACCTTAGTCTCCCTTTCCTATAAAGCAGCAGAAATAATTTCATTGTTTCCTCCTTCACAATGCTGGGGGTTTCTGGGGCGTTGGGGTAGTAAGGAGTTTGAGTGATTAAAGTTTGCAAATGCGTTGTACCAGTGCTGTGTAATTACTAAATACTGTTATTCATGTTACCACTATCTGCAAAGTAGATGTCTTGATAATCAGGCCTCATGACTTTGCAGCTGACCCTTACAAAAACATTGTAAGACTAACATTTTTCCCTACCACACACACAAAAAAAACCAAAAAAAACAAAAAAAAAACACCAAAAAAACCCAAACATCACTCTGCTACACATTGTGGAGGATGTAGCTGTCTACTCCTTGTGACCACTGGAACTCTGTGATATAGAGGATGTTTCAAATGATCATTAGGGACAATGTCAGCACAAAACCACTACTTTGTTTTATAAGAAAAAATATTTGGGACAGGGAAGTTCTGAAATTCCCAAAATGTGCTGTTTGACATTTTTCTAAACAAATTACCCTGCCATTCCAAGGACTTTTTGGAAATGCTGCTGTTTGAGAGAGCTGGAAAATCAGTTTGTACTGTCTAAAGTATGAAGAAGGAAGACCCTTTGGCCTCCATTATGTACTCCTGTCTGCATGCAGTCAGCAATGGGAAAATGTATATTATTGATCCCTCTTTCCACTCAAAAAATTTATCACACAAGTTAGCTGCTGAGTCTTCCAAAGAAAGGGAAGAAAGAGCCCTTGGTCAACCCGATGGTGTTAAACATCTAGAGAGACAGATGT